AGCAAGACGTGCACCAACAATTTGTCCTCTTTTGAACTCTGGTATGTCACCCATAATGTTGTGAGAATTGCAATATTTTGAGTAAAACTGTGCTCTTACCCTGCTAATTGAACCTTCACACTCTGCTCTTACTGGTGCAATTAATGAAGACTGGCCACCAGGCTGGTCCAATTTAGCCATGAAACCTCCCACACTAAATTGACTGGTGTTTCAGTTTCATTGTCTAACCCCTGTATGTGTACATATATGCATATATATTTGAAGTTACGTGCTGACAAGAATGATAGGAAGCTATGGGACAATCAAATCAAACTTTCTTTACACAGTGTAGTCAGCCTGCATGTGTCAAATTTAAGGCCTGTGGGCCAAATGTGGCCTGCCACTGCATTTTCCATGGCCCAAGAAAGCTTCAATGATGAATTCATGTCTTGGAATAATTGTAGGCTGCTTTAAAGCCAGTATTGACTATAAACTACATCTCCCATAATACACGTTGCTTGTTTTGATTGCAAAATGACAGCATACCCCCATTGCAGCCAGAGGTGCACAGAACTCAAAAGTAGTCGACAGCCAGTGAAATTCACTGTATAAAATCTCCAAATTCACTGCATCTTCACCAACTCTTTTTGCTTTGGCACAGTTTTACTSGAAAGTGGGAAACTGGAATGCCCCTCCAGTGGCAATTTCCTGTCAGAAAGTGGAAGAGTTCAAAATTCAACAACTCAACAGTAAGACTGTCTTATTTTTAAAAGTATTTCTGTATAATTTATTTCACATGGAGTCAGTCGTACATGTAGTACTTTTCTGTATTTATAAGAGGATGTGTTGAAACACTGTTTCTATGCAGGAAACATAACATAGAGCCCAGCCTGTTAGCAGTGCTCAGCCATAGCAATGRGATGAGGAACACTGCAGTTTTGTGTTTAGTCTAAGTTAAATACAAAAGTTTGATGCCATTGGTCTAATGGGTCTTATAATGCTAAACAAACACTAAATGTTTTAAACAGTCTAAGTATGATAATGTGAAAAAATCATCAAAAGAGAGCGTAAAAAACTATAATAAGAATGTTTATTGGCAGCTTATATATTTTTGTCACCAAAGTGAGAAGAAAAAATAATTACAAAATCCAGCAGCTCCATAGGGTGTTAACAGGAAAATCCATTTCAGAYGGTAAACACAATGAAATATGTGCAAAAAAAATTAACTTTTTCCTTTTCTATTGTTAGTTGACTATGATTACCTCATAAAGCCAGAGAAACTGTGATAGTTTTGTAGCTGCCTGCTCTCTTCTCTCACAGCCCCATGGTTGTGGCCTCTCCTCCGTGACCCTGTCATCTCTGCTGAGGTTAGGGGCCATTTTTTCCTTGATGGCTTGTTAAAAAATAATAATTACATTTCCAGGTTATCTTGAGTGATTCTCCCAACGTTCTGTTTGCACCTGGAGTGCTTAGTTATAGCCATTTTTGTCTTTTTTCGAAATGGGAGCCACTTTGAAGTGGCTCTAACAACTGAACGACTGCAGGTGGTTTAAACGATTAAGAGATAGGTTGTATTTGTGTGTTTCATTCCATTGAATTCTCACTTTTAATGCTTAAACACACACAGCCCTCAGTTTCTGAGTGGATTACTGTGTTTGCTTTGATGTGCCGTGCTTGGTGAGTGTGTGAACAGCCTCCCTGTTTGTGTGTGGCAGAGCTGAGTCAAAGGGGTACGTGTCTGCGCCCATTTTTACTTGCACTGTTTTCGATGTGGTGCGTGCTCTAGAGCCCACCATAAACCTGCAGAACCAGGATCAAAAACAGATGTAAAACACCGATCCCTGGCAACKAAGACAAGCACGTCTGATCACAGGCAGCTCGCTCGTTTAGCCACATCTGTGTGTGTTTTTGTCTTCGTGATTCATTAGACGCACATAAACTGTGTGGATTTTAATAAATTGTAGTCTGCTCAGACAAATATAGGTAGCTACATTCAAATGTCAATGGAAACTTGGGAAACATTAATAAAGACTTTGGCACACGGGGGAGCTTTGAGTGTTTCCAACATTTGCAAAATCTCCACTGGAGCAACTAATTCTTCAGTGAAAGAGGCAAAAAGAAGATCCTGTTTAATACACATCAGTATTAATACTTCATTAAACATTTAATCTTACAATGCTGTTTTAATAAAATGCAATGCTGAGTTTAAATCAAGTAAATTTCTGTATATTTCAAATRATTGACGGTTCAAGTAAATTCAAAAAGAGAAAATAAGTAGGTCCTCTGGGTGGGTTCTTCTTTAATGAGTTTTGCCTCTCCTCCAAGAGACTTCTTCAGTCTGATGAGTTTCAGGTGAACTCAGCCTTATAAGCACTGCCTCCACCTGGACAAACAGGTTAGTCACATGCAAAAGAGGGCCATCACCTAACAATAAGCTTGATTAGTTCTATTGTTCATAAGAGGGTCATGTGCCCCATCATCTGACCCATGCCGTGTTATGTGTATGTAGTGAGTGCAAGCGGGGTTCAACGTCCCCTTGTTTTTGTCGTTTTTTTCCCTCTTTGTGTTGGTCATCATTGGGGCCCTGATTCATACCTTTTGCTCACAGGGGCTGAGTCATACTTGCAATGACAGCACTGTAGGAGGAGGACAAATGGACACGAAGGCCTCCACCTCTGTTTAATGGTGGACGTTTTTTCCTTCACAAAGWTAGCTTCCTTTACTCCTCTCTCAAACCAGCGTTCCTCTCTATCAAGGATGAGAACAAGAGGACCTTGAACCCCCGCTTGCATTCACTACATACACATAACACGACACGGGTCAGATGATTGGGCACATGACCCTCTATGAACAATAGAACTAACCAAGCCTATTGTTAGGTGATGGCCCTCTTTTGTGTAACCTGTTTGTCCATGTGGAGGCAGTGCTTATAAAGCTGAGTTCACCTGAAACTCATCAGACTGAAGAAGTCTCTTGGAGGAGAGACRAAATGTTTCACTAAAGAAGAACCCATCCAGAGGACCTTTATTATTTTTTCTTTTTGAATTTTTTTCTACCTGGATTACTGAGATGCAACAGGACGTTCAAGAAAATAGTTTTTTTTTAACTTTATTTTGTTTTTCTTCTTCCTTTGGCTGTTCTTTTTTCAAGAATCGCCAGCRAGTCATCCTCCTCCATCTCACGATGTCCTCTGTATCCTCTGTCCTCACTGCAACTACCTTCATGTCCTCTAACTGCATCTCTGCAGCTTCTTTTTGGGCTTTTTCCTGGCAGCTGCATCTCCATCCTTCTATATAGTATCATTGCCACTGTCTCCAAACCATCCAACATAGCTGACCTCTCTGCCCTCTTGTAAACCATTCCTTTGACCTTTGCTGCCACCCTTGAGTCACAAATCACTCCTAAAACATTTCCCCATCCACTCCATCCTGCCCAAACTCTCTTCTTCTCCTCTTTTGTTTTCGATTTTATCAACTTAGAAATAAAAATTAATGAAAACATTGATTTATCTTTCATAAAATGACACTTTGTGATGGGTGCATGGTTTTGCTCTGGATACTGTGAAGATAACAACCTTTCCACATATTGTCATCACAGTGTCATGATCATTAGGCTTTTGAAGCTACAGAGTTAAACAACCACGAAGAGGTCAAACACATTTAAACAGAGAGCTCTGCTTTATCACGTAAACAACTTTCAAGTTGATTAGCAGATTTAGATGCACATAAGCAATTAAGGTTGGTGTAGTTTTCTTCAATAGCATACATACATTTTGACACCGATTGTTTATTTTAGTGTTGTGTGTTTAAAGTAAGCTTAGAAAAATCACAAATAATTACGAGTGATTTGAAAAAGCGGGTTGTTAAAAGTAAAACACACCCAAACTTGTTATGATTAACAACATTTTGCTTTATAATGATGAAAAAATAAGCTCAATAAGAGTTTTGTACACATGGTGAAAGTGAGAAATGTGTTTTAAATGTGGTGTTTGGCGCCACCTTGAGGTCACTTTAAGCAAATTCGTGCACAAAGTGATGGAAAACAGTTGTGCTGTATTGTACATAATGCTTTTTACATTTCTTGTGAGTTTAAAATGTCCAGTCTTAGTGGAAAAACTTTACGTATAAGACTTTTTCTAAATTTGAGCGATGTGTTTTTATGAGTCAACAGGTAAGTCTGCACGCTAACATYTGAGTAAGAACAAGGGCCTTCCAATTCCAGTAAACAGTCACTTTAAAGCCAAACCCTTACTTGAAGTGGTCTCTGACTAATAGATAATAAAAACCTCTCCATCMCTTTCTATATTCAACTCTTAATGGAGAAGTAGAAACATATCTCTGCACTTTTAAGGCTTTTTTCAATTATTGTTTAATGACTGACCAGAAGCAACTCTACATGTAGTGAAATTATTCATTTGTACAAGAAAAATCATTAATGAACTCAGAGTCATAGTCTGTAGGCAATAAAACATTTTAATAGCTTTTAGGCTGTCTTAAAATTCAACAAGAATAGAAAACACCACACCATGTTCACTTAGACAAGAAACGGTGGGAAAAAAAATCTAAAAAATAAAGTCTAAAATAAAAAAAGAGGGGGGGGGGGCACCAACAACTGGAAAAGTTGCGCACTTGCATTAGTAAAATGTTCCCATTTGACTTTCCCCACAGCTTCCCGAAAAATAAAGTTTGTTTTTGCTTCTCACTAAAATGAACTTTTTATTTATTCATTAATAAACTCTAGGGATCTCACGGACAYACACTAAATATTATTTTGGTTCTTTCATCAGACTGTCACAGTGATGATCTCCAGACACGCACGRGGGGGAAACGATGGGTTTGAGCTGCAATTTTTTTTTGAAATATTGAGTGCCCGAGCAGACAGAACTGCAGCACTTTGTTCTTGCACCGTACGAAGCTGTGACCATGAAAGTTGGGTAGGGTTGAACAGAGTAACACATCTCAATTTTTAATAGACGATCTTCGAAGTGGAGCGCATCTAAAAAAATGAATTCGCCTCGCTGTCGTCACTTCCGTAAACGTTTCCTTTGGCCACGGTAGAAGGAACAAAATTATTTACGCAGAGTCCGAAGGCAGCAGGAGTAAATCATTACTTTGAAATGTGATTCCGATATTCCTAACTAAGAGTTTCCCACTGGCTTTTTGTCCTTGAAGTGTCAGTAAGCACAGCACTGTGCTCAGCGGCGCTTGAACTGGGATGYTCTGTCGCTAGCTTGGCTGTGTTAGCTTTGCGAAGAGCGCTGTTCACGACGGGACCAAACACACTGTAAGTCCAACTAATTTATTGGGGACCTTATAAAATTTCGGAAATATTTAAAAATTAGTTTATTTTTTTCACTTTTTACCTTGTCTTGCTTTGCCAAATTCATTTCTGTATTTATTTTATCCTTGAAGACCAGTTTACCAAGCTTTATAACAGCTGCTGTCTGAACTGCAGGCCTGACAAAGCATCTCAGAGAATAACATTTTCCACGTTACCACGAAAAAAACAAAACAAAAAAACATTTGTATGGGTAAAATGTTTGTTGAAAGCATATGCTTATGTGCGAAAAAAARRAMYKGRAAAAAAATACTATCCTGAAGTCGCSTAAGCAGGTATCTGAACTGGGGGATGAGAACTTTGCACCTGTTCAGGTGCACCTGTCTGGGCTTGTGGTCATGCTAAGGTATTAAAGCTCTGTATGATGCTGTGTTGATATGTTTGTCAGAGATTAAACAAGTTATTTACCCAGATTTTTGTAAAACTTAACATATATTTGATTTTGCTCATGTTTTGATCTCACACAATGATATTTCTGAAGGTTTGGTAATGGGATTGTCAATAACTTAAATTGACCTGTGGTTGCTCCCATCAGAGTTTCTGATTGAAAAAAACACACATTAATGCAAAAGAGAAGAAGTTGTAAAAATATGATGTGGCAAAGTTCTTAGGGTGTAGTAATTTTCTTTGAGCCTGTTTTGAAAAGGCACAGCTTCTTCCAACTCCTTTCTAAAGTCAGCAAAGACTGGGCATGGCCAACTATGTGCTCATAAAGGAAGCAGCCTATTTCAATGAGGTCAGAGCCAGTGTAAACAAGCTAATCTCATTCCTTCAGTAGTGCTGCACTTGAATTTTCAGTCAGCGCTTTGTATAATTTACATACCATGAGTTTATTTTTTCTGGGCTACACAATGTTATTGAAAAACTACACTTATAAGAACATAAATAGCATTTTTTTTATTTTCTATTCATTGATGAACACATTTGAAGCTATTTTAGGACACGTGGATATATTTGTTATTCTTGTCACATAAAACAGAATAAGTAAAGTCATAATTTTGAATGCATTACTTCATGTTAGTTTTTACACTTCCATCAGTTTTCCAGAAACWGTGTGGTGAAATGATTTAAAACCATGTGCTTTAATCGTTTTAGCCCAAAATCGGAGTAAATTTAAATTTATTTCAAAGTGGCAAACCACAAATTGGAGATCCCATGTAATGATTTGCATTTCACTCTATATATTTTTTTAAACTGGCCATGTTTTGCAGCTTCACTCCTACAATGTGTGGCATGTTTCAGGGTAACAAATCAGATTTTTCTGTACTAACATTGCAATTGTTACATTAAAGCCACTGAAATACTCTGCCTTTTTGTATTAGTATTATCTTAAGCTTTTCGCACATGTTGACATTTATCCAATTTCGATGTTTACATGATTAACTTTAAATCAGAAAACCAGGAAAAGCATCTTCTAGATATTTAAATTAAAATATAGGATATAATTTTGACCCATCAACTGGACAAATGCACAAAGATTACACAAAYAGAAGACGTGCTACTGTTTCTTGTAGGTGTGTAATGCATATGTGGTTTTACTTGTATGTTATACTATACAGTAAGAGATAAAAGACAAACGAGTTTGACCTGTTAGAGTATTTAGACACTGTTGATGTAAAACTCTTGCTGTTGTCAGGGTTTTTAGGGGAGTAGTTGCTGATAAAAAAAATAAACAGTCCAGTAATTGAGCTTTATAGTAGAGTGGCCACTTCACCACAACAGCTCATTGTAGTTATGGCCTGTGTGTGTTTGTAGCATGAAGTAGGGCATCCATTCTTCTGTGTGTTGTTTTTATCCTGAGCAGTAGCCTTGCCCTTTGAAAACCACCTCCGCACTTGTTTGTGGTAATTCTACCCTCATCTGTTTATTGATTTGGGTGTTTTCATTAAGCTCTGTGGTCTYTTCCTTTTTTATCTAAGCTGTAATTAGGCCGCAACTGTTTTCCTCCATTTTTTTTATTTTCACTCAAACCATTGGGAGTTCCCATACCCTCTCGTATCTTTGTGTTTCACAGATACTGTGCGTTATGACAGACAGCATCATGAGTAAAGCTGCCACAATGGAGATTCCAATCAACAGTAATGGCGACACTGGGGCACTGCAGGAAGACGACAGCCTTGAACAGGTAAGAGTGAATCCATATGTAATTATACTGCATTTTAGAAAAATACGTTAATTCTGTGCATTAAAAGCTCTTATTAAAAGTGGATCTGTGACCTACAAACAAACATTTTGTTCTTCAAGTTAAAAAAGGYGAGGAAACGTAAAATGTTAGGGTAAAGCCTATGATCTGAAGTAAATAAATTGGGCTGTCTGGTAACAAAATTCTTATTTGTTTGAACAGAAGTGATTTGCATTTTCAAAATTTTTCTCTGCCTTTTACACATTCTTTCACAACTGTAGTTTTCTGCCTTGGAAACACATCAATAGACTTAAAATCATTGGTTTTATTTTATCGTATCTTATTTTTTGGTATTCGTTTTATTTCCATTAATGATAAAAGGTGTTCTTTGATTAGTTTGAGGTAGAGAGATTAGAAATCTGGGTAGGTTTTACAKCTGTCACATGATTAGCTAAGTCTTCTTGTTCTTAACATACCGTTCACATCATACTCTGCTCTGTTGTAAAATGTTGGAGCTGCAGGCTTCATACAGGATATAATAATAGTCTTTAACAGTTATGTTTTCTTTTCCTTGCATTATAGTTGTTATTTTGGACACTGCTTTGAACTTAGAGTAAATATAGTTTGTCTAACAAGCGTTTATTCTAAGAATACTTGCCATTTTTAGCATGGCTTGCTTGCTTTTCCACACCATTAATCCTACAGGGAGATCAGGTGTTGTGGTCCAGCTGTCTCTCTGGGAACCACTTACTGCTTCTAAAGGCTTTTGTTTCCTTGTGCATAAAATAATACAGACACGTATCAAGTGTATTTAGTTAACCTTAACACTAAGAAATAAACTTAAATGCTAGAATATCARATGTCTTTATGGTCAGACTGCTGCCGTAATAAATGAACATTTGTGGTTCTGTATCGCATAAGGGCAAGAAACACTTTTCAGCACRCATTTTAACTGTACTATTTGGCATYAGATTCAAAAGTGACTGGCATTTTTCTTCAACATTACAGAGTAATGATTGRAAAGAGATTGTTGGTTTTCCTGCATCCAAGGGCCAAGCCCTGTTGAACAAACAGATTAAAGATCCTGGAAGAAGCAATGGCAGTTAGTAAAGTTATTTGCTCACCAAACTTYGTGTCCGCTCAAGTGGTAAAAAAAAAGTCCCTCCCTCTCAGTGAAGTTTGACAAATATATAACCCTTTGTGTGTGGCTATCTCGCGTCTGGCAGCGCTTTGTCCTTGGATGGTGGCTCTCTAAAATCAGATTGATTTCTGATGTTAGTTTGAAGCTGTAGCGGTTAGTGTTAGTCGCACATAGAGATGAAGATTGACAGGTTCAAGTGGAGAAACTGGTTTCAGATGTTGCAGCTTTGTGCGTGTCAGATGGTGACTGTCAGCTCGACAGTGACAGAGGAGAAAGTGTTGAAACACTTTGAAATAACACTGACTGACTGGTGTTGACTCAGAAATCAGCCTTTTAWCATTATTTGRCTCTTTTGCTTGTAGTGTTGGGARTAAGGASCCTTWYGTGGGAGCTTTTGTTATTTTTTATGTCTTCATTTTTTTAGTAATCACCTTGTGTCTAAGGAAAAGTCTGTTTATGTCAACTTTCTTCCACATTGAACTGATGCCACAACATGAGGAAAAAAAGCAWAATACCACCCCTTTTAAATTTTCATAGTAAAAAATAATGAAAGTCAATTTGCTATGACATCAGTCATCACTGCTCTCCATCTCACATCACTGTTTTGTTGCGTCTTATTTCACGATTTAAGTTATTGATTTTTCTTTTSGTTTTATGTTTTCTTATTTCTTTTTTTCCTTGTTGTTTTCTGTTGTTTGACGACCCCACCCCCCCCATCCCTTCATCTCTGCAGGCTGCAAAGCTGCAGTGGAGCTTAGATGAGCAGGTAGGGAGCTCCAGAGGCACCAGGGTGAGCAGGCCATTTGAGCATTTATGTTTGTGGTGTTGGTGGTCCTGTTGAGTGCTTTGACTTGTCTTTTTCTTACAAATTCTCATATGTTAATTGGCAAATGTCTGCGTAGCACTGTGCTTTGTGTTCATCTTACACTTACTAACTGCTGAAATCTCTGTAAAATAATTTGAGGCATCCTTTAGTTGATTCATATTAACAAACCTATTATAGCCAACACGCAGCATACCAGTGTTATTACATTTAATTTTTGAATCTAAAGTCATCTAGTGTTGTCTTGWGTGGGCTGATGTGACCTACATTCTGTATGTGTGCACTTTGGTGATGTCTGAGTGTTATCCCTTAATCTCTTGGTGGGCTGGGGTGTTACCAAAACAAAAAAATGGTGACMTTTTACTAAACATGTCGTATTAACGCTGTGGTGTTGATGCCAGTTTGCTTCACTTCTCTGATCTCACAGTTGGTGTAGCTAACTTTAAAAAAAAAATATATATATATATAAGGGAAAGGAGGGTCCATATGTGTTTGTTTACAGAAAGGAAATGGCTACATTCCATTTCCTTCCAACAGGATGTTATGTAGTTTCATTGTGGCAAGCTTACTGTACTCTAACCCTTTAAATTTTTGTTTACATTTTTAAAGGTCAGGGTATGGAGTGAAAATGAAATGAACTTGTTTTCAAGTATTAAAAAAAACCCAATATTATTCTGTTTTGCATGCGAGATATCTGTGTAGATAAGACATTTCTTTCCTGCAATAATTATTAGGGCTGTGTATTGGCAAGAATTTGGCGATACGATACATATCATAACAGAGGGGTCACRATACKATTTATCCCGATATATTGGGATACTGTAAGCAAGGCAATATATTACGATATATTGCGATTGTTTTTGTCCAAAAATTCTATTAAATAAAAACCTCTTACTGAAAAAAAAAAAGAAAAGCTAATGTTTATTTACAATGCTAATGCTACCCTTACTCTCTGGCGCTAAAGAGGTAGAGGACCCAAATGGCTGGCTCACTGCTGCCAACTAGTGGTCAGAGGCTGAACTACAACATAAAAATGAACGGTTGGCAAGAAGGTTGACATTTTAAACCTTAATTAAAAATCGATACAGGGCTTTAGAATATCGATACAGTATCGGGAAATGAAATATCGTGATACTTCAGTGTATCGATATTTTCTTACACCCCTAATAATTATTGTTGTTATATTTGCCACCTGAATTAAAAGGCTAATTTAATAGTGATAAACAGTTTAGGTTAGTTACTGACTGAAACTTCATTATGTTTTGTCTTTTACATGTTTTAACCTTCCTAACATTGTAATGTTTGTTCCACTTAACATATTTTAACCATTCATTTACTCTAATGTTCACGATTTAACACTCAATCATAATTTCCTATCGGCGTTTTAGTTTTCGTGCTATAAGCAAAGTAGAACTGAAGTGAATATCCCAACATCTACCTTACCCAATGCTCAAACCGCCTCTCTGTTTGTTATTGCTGTTTCCTCTGCATTGATCAACTTCACAGGACCTTCAGCAGGTGATGGTATCGGGTCCCAATCTCAACGAGACCAGCATTGTCTCTGGAGGCTATGGAGGAACAGCAGAGGGAATTATTTCCACCAGCTCAATCAAAGGTATAGTCTTCCTTCATTCTTGTCAGCTTGGGTTATTTCTGCCATTGAATGTGTATAAATAAGGTAAAATGTTACTTACAGGACAAATGGATATGTCTTGACCAGTTTTCAGTTTGCTAGCATCCCCCATGAACTGTGTGTTCGAATAAAAAAGAAGCCTTGCGTCACATAAAGTTTGTACTTATTAGTTGTATTATACTGTCACATGGTAATATGTACATAAACACTGCATATCGTTTCAGAGGGAAATTGCAAGAAACKTTACGACCTATTTCTTTGTTAATTTTTGTGCATTTCTGTCCACCTCTCTTTCTCAGGCCCTGCTGTGCAGTACAATCCTGACTTTAACAAAAGGATCCCTGTAACAGGATTAGGTGGCTTTAACCTAATTGTTATTATTAATTAGGAGCTTCTTTCCAAAATGTGAAGCAAAAACACAAAAATCAAATTTAGGATGGTTACATAATGTAGCATTTTGTAGGTAATATTATTTTAAAAATCAGCATAAAGTATTTCAAAATAATAAAACATGGTGCTTTTTATTTAATTAAATTTTGTTTGGTTTTGAACACTTAAAAATGATAAATGTCTCATTTTGGAAAATGCTCTATGTACTCAGTGTTATCACTGTAAATGATTGGGAGGAATCTTTATCAATTTTAAACACATTTCTCATTTTCCGAGGAGAGTGGTGAACAGTCATATCTGCATGCTGTCCTTTCTTATCTCTTTTATTTTAAATCTAAATTCATCCTATTTCTGGTACTGGGTTTCTTGTGCTGTCGTTTATTTACATTTTAAATGTGTAAATAAGAAAATGTGAGGTTTAAATACAACATTTAGAACAATTTAAAGTTAATAACTGGTTTTAGGGGATCATACCTCGCAGATATGAAAACAAAGCAACTCCTCAATTGTTTCTGGTTTAATCCAGCACATAATAAATCTTCTGTCAATGATCACTGTCAATGATCAATATCTAACGTAATATCCCAAAGGGATTTTTAAAGATCTTGTAATTTTTTATTTGTGGAGCTTWGTTTTCATTTAGAGCAGCACATTTTAATGATTATTTAACATATGACCAACCCCAAAAACTGTGACACTATGCAGCATGCTTTATTTGCATTTAACACCCTTCCCCTTTTTCTCCAGCTTTCTAGATTTTTTTTTTCACTGTTGTGTATAAACCCTGTTTGTGTATCTTTTTTTACATTTTACAGGATGGTTCATTAAAGAGGCTTTGCTATCCTTTAGCAAAACCCTTTGTATTTGCATCATCATTTTAAGACCTTTTAATTAAAGTTATTTTTCTTTTACACAATCTCCCTTTATTTTTTTAGTCATTTCTACGAGAAATAATTTATCCAGGCGTTATCCATTTTTATACTAGTACTGCAGATTAAACGCTGCTCATCATCCTCACTCCTTTCTATTGTTCATTGATTGTCATTTTTATTTTTGCCTCTTTATTATCCTTCGCTCACAGCTGCCTCCTACATGTGCATTTCTAGTATTCTTACAGCCCCTCAAATGTTTCTCCTGTCGTCAGTCTGCTTTTGTATGTTTTCAATTTGATAAAGTGTTAAACTTTGAATATAAATAATTAAAAATTCCAAATCTAAACATTAAAATACTTAAATTAGAGCAGGGGATTGTTTTTAATTAAACCTCATCTGAAATCACTCTTTCATCCACATTTTTTCTTCCTCACCATTGGTCACAAACCAATATGAGGGCCCAGTAAAGAAACATTATCCAAGCAGTTTTGCCATCTGACACAAAGCAGGCCARTCCCACGAACGCCGTTACCCAGCATTGAGAAGAGTCAGTGATTGAACCGTCATTTTCAAATGTTACACATTTAAATGATGCTAGCTAGCATTTCCATCTTTTCCTCACAGCTCTTTAAAGGAAATTGGTGTCTACCCTAATGAGACGGTAGACACCAATTTACACCAAGTGAATTCTGTGCAGAGTTGTAGAGTAACTAAGTACAAGTACTTTGTTACTGTACTTAAGTAGAGTTTTTGGGTATCTGTACTTTACTTGAGTAATTATTTTCAGCCCACTTTTTACTTCTACTTCTTACATTTTCACACAATTATCTGTACTTTCCATTCCTTGCATTTAAAAAAGAAAGTTGTTACTTTTATTTCATTTTTGCTTGTTTTCATTCCAGCTTGTTATTGTAAAAATTAAATACTATCCATATAAACTG